AAAAAGAATTAGCACCCAAAGTTTATCGAGTAGAAATTGAAGGCGAGGAAATAGATTTGACCCAGTTTGTTAACGGTCATTGAGAAGATTACAATGAAATAAAAAATGCTCTAATTAGAGAAATTAAACAAAACCCTACGGAATGAAAGATTGAGAAAAAAGCAACTGATAGTAAAACAATATTAAAACACAAATCAGGGCGGAGACATTGAGGACATGCTTTCAAATATTTTCGGGAAAACTTGGAAAAAACTGAAAGAGACTGAGCCGAAATTGAGACTTTATTAAAAGGCAAATCATTACCAGTCGACAAAATAAGCGATGCCGAAAAATCCCAAATACTCCAATATTTTCTCAATAAAAATATCAAACGAATTACTTTGAATAATAACAAGTTAGTAATTGAATATAATAATCAAACCTTTAAAACAATAGAGGCAGAAGACTCCGAACAAAAAAAATATCACCAACTTATTCAAAAACTCCCTAACAAATCACTTTCTCTCTCGGAATTACAAAACAATACTACTAATCCTTCTACTCCAGACAAAAATAATACTGGAATTTATGTTGCCCTAACTATCAGTGCCTTTATTTTAGGAGGAATATTTGTTTACTTCTTAGTTCACAAAAAGAAAAAATAATAATATATGGAGGTTGCTAGCCAAAAAGAAAACGAACAATTACAAAAAACTACTATTCCTTCACTGCTGAACATCACTCGTTCTTGGTATTTTTTGGATTTAAAAAATAAAATAGTGGGCAAAGAAGCCACGGGGAAAATTGTTGACTTGCTGCGTGGTAAAAATCGAAGGGATTTTACCCCTAATTCAGACTTAGGAAATTATGTCGTGTTAGTAAATGCTAAGCATATGAGTTTTACTGGTAATAAATTAGACAAAAAAAATTATTATAACCATTCTGGTTATCCAGGTGGACTACGCACTAGAAGTACCCGCTTAATGTTAGAAAAATATCCCACCGAGTTAGCTTTTCGGATTATTAGAGGTATGATTCCCCACACTAAATTAGGAGATAAACAAGCGGGCAGATTATTTATTTTTGCTGAGGAAAAACACAACTTGGAAGCCCAAGAAAAGGGTTTTATTAAAATTAAAATAGATTTACAAAATGAATAACAATTATTATATCGGAATAGGAAGAAGAAAGGAAGCCACCGCTCGGGTTTACTTAAAAGAAGGTAGCGGTCAAGCCCAAATCCGAACTAATTCTGGAAAAGAAAAAGATTTAAAAGATTATTTTTATATGGAACCATCTTTATGCGAAGATGTTTTTCAACCCCTCAAATTGTTTAGTAAAGAGAAAAATTATGATTTTTTTGTGCGAGTAAAAGGAAGTGGCTTTCATAGCCAAGCCGAAGCAATTAGATTAGGGGTAGCACGAGCTTTATTAAAAGTTTCGTCCGAATATAAAACTACTTTGAAAAGTTTTTCACTGCTAACTCGCGATGCCCGAAAAGTGGAAAGAAAGAAAGTTGGTTTCAAAAAGGCTCGCAAAAAAGCTCAATTTTCTAAACGCTAATTTTTCTTTCTAATTTTCCTCTCATGGCAGGTCATTCCCATTCCGCAAATATTAAACATCGGAAAGATAGGCAAGATAGTGCTCGTAGTCAACTTTTTCTGAAAGTACGAAAAAAAATTGAAAACATTATTAAAGAAGAACATGAAGTCAACGAAAAGGCTTTAAGTATTGCCCGGGAAAATAAATTCCCCAAGGAAAAAGTATATCAGATTTGGGAAAAAATCAAAAATGGCGGGGGAGAAAATTATTCGGCTCGGGCTTTTTATCAGGCTCCTTTCGGTATTTTAATTTATTTAGAGGACAGCAAAAATATTACTACCGATTTGATTAGTAAATTAAAGTTAAAGTCGCTTCCTCTTTCCTCGTTATCTGGTTACTTTCAGCTTTTATATGGCTTAAAAATAAATTTAAAGGGAGCAGATAATAATTTAGAAGAGTATTTGCTTACTTCTTTGCCAGGTGAAATTTGAGAAAAAATAATTTATGATGAAAAAAAAAAACAGTTGTCTTCCCCCAACAAGGAAGAAATAGTTAAAATAAAAAAAATTATCGCGGAAAATAAATTAGAATTGGTGATAGAGCAAGAAAGAAGTTTTTGAAAATCCTTAGTTCCTTGCCATTTAGTTGAAAAAGAAGAAATTAATTATTATCGAGAGTTGGAAAAGGAAATAGCAGACAGCAATTTTTACACTAATGTTTAAATAGTTAAGTGGGACTATAGCTCAGTCGGTAGAGCACACCGCCGATAACGGTGAGGTCGCTGGTTCGATTCCAGCTGGTCCTACCATAAAATAAAAATTAATTACACAGTGAAATTATTAAAAATATAGTATATGGAAAAAAATGTTCGTCAAAGTCGTATCCAGTTAGTTTGTGGGCAAGCCAAGCCCGGTGCTAGTTTAGCTTTTTTAAAAAACATGGTTCTTTTTTGTCGCGAGTTCAATGAAAAAACCAAAGAGAGAAATGGTGAGTTAGTTAACGTGGAAATAACTGTTTCTCCGGACAAGTCTCATAAGTATGTTATTGGCACCTCCCCTAGTAGTTATTTGATAAAAAAAACCCTGGGTGAAAAAAAGGAAATTACCCAAGCAGAATTGGAACAAGTGGCAAAGGAAATAATGCCAAGCTTAAATACTGAAGATATTGAACAGGCCAAGAAAATTGTGGCCGGCACGTTGCGAAGTTTTAATGGGGTCAAAATAAGCGAATAATTAAGAATTATAATAAACTTTAGTAACAGTTATTGTGAACAAAGATTCATTAATAAAACTACTGCGGCGGAAAATTTATTGAGAAAAAGAAAGAGATAAATGTTTTTTTAATGTATTTTTTTGACTCCTTCTTTCGCTGATACTTGCATCTAAGAAAAATTATTTTGGAATAAAAGAAGTTAATCAAATTGGCTGGTCTAAAGCTGGTGGATGGGACATATTTCTTTGTATTTTTGACCGGTTTTTATTAATTATTTACATAGTTTACTTTTTCATTTTCCTTTATTATTTCTTCCGAATTCAGACCTGTTCCCATAAATTAATCCATCTTAATAGCCAATTGTTAAAAGAATTGAATAGTCTGTCAGACGCAGACATAAAGGTAAAATAATATTAATATATAATGAAACGCTCCCGTCGCTATCGAGAAATCAAGGAAAAAATTCCTAACAATAAATACTACAACTTGCCCGAGGCTGTTGATTTTTTACAAAATAACAATCCAGAAAAATTAAAAAACATCAAAGCCAGTTTTTCCCTACATTGAACAAAACAAAAAAATGTTCTAAAAACCGAAATAATTTTACCTCATTTAGTTAAAAAGGAAAGAAAAATTGCTGTAATAAAAGAAAATTTACCTGAGGATATTTTAAAAATTTGTCAGAAAATTACGGAGGTGGAATTATTAACCATAGCCGAAGTTCGACAAAAGGTGGAAAGCGAAAAGAAATCACGCTGAGGCTTTACCAAAGTATTAGCCCACTCCGCTAGTGAAGAAGCAATTAAGCCATTACAAAAGTTATTAGGTCCAAAGGGAATTTACCCGACTAAAAAAAATGGTTCATTAAGCGAAAATATATTGGGAGAAATTGAGAAATTTCAGCAAGGAAAAACTGAAATAAAAACTGATAAGGGCGGTAACATTCATGCAGTAATTGGCAGTAATGATTTTAGTCTTATCCAATTGGAAGAAAATTATAAAATAATACATGGTAAAATAACCGAGTTAAAACCAGTCGGCTGAAAAGGCGATTTTTTAAAAAATATAACTCTTTCTACGACCATGGGTCCAGGGTTAAAAATACTAAAATAGGTCGAGAGTAATGAAAAATAAAGTTAATAAATAAGAACTACGGAGCAAAACATCAAAATAAGTATAAAAAGAACATAAAACAATAAATGATATGGTTAATAATAATGTTTGCAACTAAGAATACAAAAAAACAATATATAAATGCCAACGCAAGTATTAGAATAAATTGAAAGTTGGTTCATCATTCAGCAAAATTCCTAAAATAATATATTATATGCCTGCCACCAGCCAGAAGCAAGCC